CCGCTGTCTCGCAGCCAACTCCCCGCTCCATATCCAACGCCTTATAACAAATCTCCAGCAATGAAAGCCCCCTCCGCGCGCCCACGCCGCTCGCTCGCTCGCTCTCTCGCACACGCACACGCACATGCACACGCACACGCTCGCGGTCACACGCATGCCCGCCCGCCGTGCTCGCCGCTCACGTGCTCTGCAGCTCCCGGCGGTAGCAGGTCAGGGGGAGCTGAAAGGGGAAAGGGGGGGACTCAGAGGGCCACACACCCGGGAAGGGCCAACGTCGCCCTCCTCGACTTGAGAGCCACGGCTTTGCCCCACTAGTGTTTTCCCTGCTCTTGATTTTTTCGCAAGGTGCAGGTGTTCCCCCGGGGCAGAGAAAGGAGGGGAGGCAGATATAATGGGGGAGATACAATGCACGGAAAGCAATAGGGCAAAAATAAATATTTTTTGGAGTGTAAATTTAACCTTTTTTCCTCCTTAAAATTTCATTAGCTTACAATATTTTGTCAGTATAGCTCATATATATATATTATAGCTATCAAGGCCGGGGCGGTCTGAAGGAGGCAAGGGGGAACTCTGGGGAGCTGTGGTACTGTTTCGAATTTTTGCCCCCAACAGCCTATCTATCTAGGCCACTTTGCACTGAAAATTTCTCCGAAGCAGCTCTTGGCTTTTGCATCTGCCTGGCTCCTGCCCCCGTGCAGAGCCCGTCTGTCAGGTCGCTGCATCTGCAGCCCCCACTGCAGTGTGCCAGGAGGTTGGGATGCTGGTGGCACAGCTGTCCCAGTTTGGCTTGAGGGGCTTCAAAGCAGGGGATATTCATAGGAAGGGGTTCAGCCCTTGTTTTCATTAACTCAGTGGCTCCATCCAGACCATTCTTCTTGCCCCCAGACCTGCACATGTGACTAGGGTGCTCTATGCCCTTGTATCCCCACTGCCAGCTGGACCCCACCAGGCACCATGAAGGGGCTGGGGACCTCCACTTGCTCCCCCACCGCCAGACCCAGCACCGCAGCTCGGGCTGATGGCTCTGCTCGCCCTTCACCCCTGCTCACCTCACACAAACCTCCTAAAGCAAGGGGAAAAGCCGACGGCACTTAATTTGCTGCAAAACAATGGTATTTTCGGAGATGCAAGCCTCCAGTGGGCCAACTACAGGGGGGCGCACAGGCCGAGCAGGCTGGCTCTCGGAGGACCTGTTACTGCCTCACTGAGCCAAAGCTGCCCAGTGACTGCAAGTCTTTTTTTTTTCTTAATTGTCTTCCTTCTTTTTTTAATGTGGCCTCCAAAATAAAATGTAAAAAGCGCCTGAGTTACTTGTAGTCATTCGCCTTTCGTGCAACTGAACGTCCATGCAATTTAAAAACCGCTTGCACATCTTGGAAGAGAGAGATAGCGCTAGCCAGGGGTCCATTGCTTTGCATAGAAAACCCACCTGTGCCAGCATCCACTATTATTATTATTATTATTATTATTACAATATTTTTCTTTCCTTTTCTTTTTGTTAAGAGAACAATGTGACAGGCCGCAGGAGAAAATTGCCAAAGAGGTCTAGTGATGGGAGGGAAAAAGGGAAGGCAGGACAGGAGGTGACTCTAGATCAACTCAGAAGGTTCCCGGTGTGCGTTTGCCTTCTCCAAGGCATGGGGTGGCCAGAGCCTCCAGACACACGCAGTGGGTGCGTGGCTGAGTGCAAGCACACCTGGGGAGGTGCGTGGAAATGCTGCAATTCCCCCTCTCCGGGTGGACTCATACTGCTCACCTGTGACCAGTCCTGGACTTTGACCGGGCTCTGGGCCAGCAACCGAAATCAGTTCAAGTGAACTCCCAGGGGACGGGAGGATTCGAGACCAAGGCCTTGTGTGTCCCCAGCAAGTCACCAGGCAGCAAGCAAATTTGGGGAGAAGCACAAGGGCCCGCAAGGCCCCTCTGCCACAGCTGGGCAAGGGAAAGTTTCCAAGGGCATCTCCTCCGTTGTCCTGTAGACCTGGCTTACGTTCTGGCAGGATTTTATTTCCTATGGGTTGTTTCAAACACGCAATAGATGTTTGCAAAAGGAGCTGTCAGGATGGAGCTTCTCTTGTAGGTTTTGATGGTGGCCTCTTTTTTCCAGATGGCACATGCTAGTCATGATCTCGCATTCAATCCAGAGCGAACATCACCACTTGGTCCAGACTCAGGATCGCAACGTCAAAAGCTGGGAACACACCTCTCGCTGCTGGCTTTGCTTTGGTCACCTTCCCTGCGATGGGACATGCATCCACATCCTTTCCTCGTTTGGCGTGACTCTGTGGCTCTGTTACATAGGTGCGTGGTTTTGATTCCTCTATGTGTGTGTTTGGCTTGTGTTGAGTTTTTAGGGGTTTTGTTGGGTTTTTTTTTGTTGTTTGCTGTTTTCCTCCAAAATTCCAACCCTTTCCCCCTCCCGATTCACTTCCCTCTCCCACAATGCACTTCCTTGCACTCCTTCTTGGATCAGCTCCAAGTCCTTCTCCAAAATTCAAGAATCACCCGCAAGCGCCAGCTCATCTTTTCTGGCCGGAGCCAAGCATGACCCTGGAGACAAAGTTGACAATGGCTGCAGCTGGCTGGTCCGGATCCATCTCGGCAAAGAGGTGGCAAACGTTGTCCGTGGTGCTCCCTTGCTTCCTGGCCACAAAGCCAAAGAGCCTGGGTGGGAGAAGGCAAGAGGCTCAGAGAGGCCCCCAGCAACAAACTGGGGGAGGCGCAGCAACCAATGCTGGCAACACGGGGAACACCAATCCCCGGTGGGGAGCCTGGGGCTCCCAGAACAGCTATCCACAAGTCTTTCTGCCCCAGGGTTCTGCCTAAACCTCTCCTGAGGTTGGGCAGCTATGCTCTTGTGGGCCTGCCAGCTATGCTCACCCAAGGGGCAATACCAGACTCTTCCTGCATGGGCTGGTCCAGCTCTCTCACTGCAACCTCCACCTTGCATGACACAAGGTGAGATATGTTATGCCACAACGGCCTGCATGAAGACAAGCCTACACTTCCTTGTGCTGCAGCTTCTTTGAGGGCCAGCACTGCCTTTCCCTTCCAGCATCTCTCCACCAAACTGTCCTGGCCCCTTTGCTCTGACCATCCCCATCACCCTCCCCCAGGCTTCCCCAAGAAAGGACCTTCCAAATAATCACAGCACTGCCTCCCTTTGGGTGAAACCACAGAGATCTAACTGGCCAGCCTTTGGGGTACGCACTGAGGAGATCCCCTAACACTGGAAGGGCCATGCCGATACATGGGGAGAGCAGACCCATGTGCTGCCACACGCAGAGCTGGGTGAGACCATGCAGTTATTCCTGTCTGTCCTTCTCTTGGTGAATAAAATGTCCCTTTTTTAATTAGAACATGCAAACTCGAGTTATAAATACAGGGGAACAGAATGTGAGACAGGCCCAGGCCATGGCACTTCTAATTGGAGAGGGGAAATATCCCAGCAGCTGGGCATCCTAATAAAAACCCCTTTGCTAATATACTGGCTAAAATTAGTGGGAATCAGCCCCTGAACTGGGCTCAGCCGGCAACTCTGTGCTCCTGCAGTTCAGGAAAAGGAGGAAGAGAGGAAGGGAACAGCTGTCAGGCTCATCGAGGTGCTGTGTGGTTCATACGTGGCTAATATTACCCTGCCATTCTGCACCATGAGCCAGTCTCCCACTAACAGCACTGGGATGGTCTGCAGTGAGGCCAGTTCACTGTGGTCTGTACCTGCTCTGACCAGGAATTTGGGGCCAAAAGATGCTTACTGAATCCACAGGACTGCAGTTACATGCTTGGCTGAAACTTTCCTGCAGCAAGGAGCTGAGCCAGTCCCTCAGGGAACAGCCTCTCACCACCCCTCTTCATCAGATGGAGGCTGCGCTGCACTTATTCCCTGCTGGTTCACATCCCCACAGACCTCTTCTCTCCCATCTCGCTTGGCCCATCACACCATCACACATCCTGGGCTCTTTTGCCTTCCAAGACAAGCTAGCACAGCCCAGTGAGCGCAAGGAACCTGTTTCCTGCTTTAGCATTTGCTGCCCAAGTCCCAGTGCCCAGGAAAACCATCACCCACAGAGGGCACTGGGGACACCAACCTTGGAACCATCCTCCCATGCTGTGGGACAGGGTTCCTATGCCAGTGCCTGCCGGACCGGCCCTCCATCACTTGCATACAGGGGATGCATCGGGAAGGATGACATCGCTGTGCCAGGCAGCTCCTCAGGGGCCTGCCGTGGCTGGGGGCAGATCTCACAGCCAACCAAGAACCCACCCTGCAAAGAGCATCCCTAGCCAGGGGTTGCTGGAGCCAATGCTCAAACACAAGCAGGGGTTACCTTGATGGGGGATGGGAGGAACTGAGCTCAGAAAGCACTTACTTGGCTGGGCCACTGCCATCAGTTTTAGTCCACCTGCAAGGAGAAGAAGAGGTGTGAGGAGTTGCATCTCTGGCACCCCACAGAGTAATGAGGCCATTTGCCAAACCAGCCCCACTGGGGACTATGGTAGACGTGAAGACGGCCTGGACTTTGCATGGCTTTGGTGCTTTGGAAAAAGACGGCAGGCCCATGGTCTGCAGCCATGCCCATCAGGGGTGCATAGGGGAGGCATGCTTGGTTGTTAACTGATCCTTACACAGCCAAGCGGGCAGATGGGCATCCAAATATGATGCACCACTCCCCCAGCTTGGAGACACCAAGAAAGAAGCTGGCATTTCCCCAGGGTATCTGAGGGCATGCCCCATCCCTGCCATCTTCTGGAGCAACAGAGACTGAGCAAGCAAAGACCCTGCTCCAAGCAGCCCAGAAGCCTGGAGGGATAGGAAGGGTCAGGGGGACGAGCTCCCCTCGGGCTAGGGCACTCACTTTCTTTCCTGGGGGTCCAGGTCACAGAAGGTCACGGTGTTGAGGGGGTAGTGTCGTCGGAAGAATAATCTGAAATACAAGGCAGGGAGCCATGGTCAGCGAGCCCCCCGCCTCCGCCCTGCCATCACGGCCCAAAGCAGGACCAGCGCATCGCTGCTCAGCCCCCACCAGCATCGAGGCCATTTCCCTAGGTCTCCCCTGGCATGCTACAGGAGTCAGGGGCAGAGCCCATCCCTGCCTACGAGCAGCCTAATGCCACCCCAAGGACGTCCTTCGCTAATGTGCTCCCTGGGTCACAGCTCATCAGCTCTCAGCATGGTATCCACATCCCATGCATGCCTGGGTGTTGGGGATGTGGGGCTGCAGCTCTGGGAGCTCTTACTTCCTCTGGTTGTCTGTTAAGGTGATGCCTTGAGCGGAGACTTTGAAGTGGACGATAGTAGCAGTGGGCGTGGGGTCAGCGACCAGCGTCTCGGAGACAGCTTTCGCAATGGCCTGGGGGCCCGTGAGCGACTCCATCTCCACCGAGTTGATGAAGAGGACATTGCAGGCTGGAAGGGGAGAGAGAGAGCAGGCGTGGGGTCAGCGATCGCTCCAGGCCACGTTCACCCCACAGCAGTGGGGTTCCTGGCAGCCCCTGTCTACTCACCCGCACCCTGTTTGAGGAGGTCCGTGGCAGAGTTGGTGGCCGATGCCGCATCTTTCTTTTCCTCAGTGGGATCTAGAAGAGAGGAGATGTTACTGCTGCTCCCTGCTTGAAAAGTGACCCTGTTCCCAGCAGCCCAAGCTGTGGGGGCAGATGCACTATCCCCTTTTCAACTGTTGGGCATCAGATCCCAGGGTGGATGCTGTCTTCCGGCACTCCACCCCGAGGTTATAGCCCGGCCCGGATCTGAACTGTCTGAGCGCAGGGGCGCAAGGGGATCAGCGGGGAAGCACAACTCCCAGCACAGAGAGGAGAGGGGATACATCCCCAGAGCTGGCCCTGCTGTGGAAGCACAGCCCTGAACATGGCTATGGCTGGCAGAGGAACCAAGACCTCATCCCAAGCTGCAGCAGGGCAAAACTGCCCCATTGATCCCTTCTGAGTATGGCTCTTACCCCGGTCAGGAATGACCAGCTTGCAGGGCAGGGCCAAGGGCATGATGGAGTGCTGGTACACCAGAGCTGAGAGGCACCCTGGGGAGAGACAGGAGACAATCAGCATGGGGCTAGAGACACATATTACCTCACCTTGGAGCACATCATTAGCTATGAGACAACTGGAACAAGGGAAGTCACTGCCCTCCACCCACCCTCCTCCTCTCGCTCTGTCCCCGAAAAGCTGAGGATCTGTAACACACCCCAAAGCCTGTGCAACCCTGTGCACTCACAAGCCCACGTTTACACGTGTGTGTGCATGTGTAGGAGACCAAGCAGCACGTGTACATGCCTGCCATTGGGTGTGTGCCTGTGAGTGTACACATAAGCACATACGGACAGCTGTGTGCATATGCATGTCTGCTCTGTGTGTGTGTCTGTGTACACATGCAGGGCAGTAGGTCTGTGTGCGTGCACACAGATGTGCATGGCCAGGCACCTGTTGTCTGTGCGTATGTGAAAATACAGGAGCGTGCACAGATGTGCACTTTATGTTCAGATGCGTGCACGCACATACATGTGCAGGTAAGCATATTGGTGCATTTGTGTGCATTTATGTGTTATGCTCACATGGACACAGGGGTGTTCAGTTAAATTTAGACATGCATGAAGATAAGTACCTGTGCATATATGCATACGTAAGCATATGTACGTATGCATGCATGAGCATGCATGACACCAGAGGCATCTTTGGGCCCTGCTCCAAACACCCGCAGGACTCAGTTGCACACAGGTGGCTGTGGCAGAGGCAGGGCCTGTCCCAGACACCTGCTTGCTCTGCTTTGACAGTCCAGCAAAGTAAAGGCCTTCCCAGCCCTCCAGATGCGGAAGCACATTGGGACACTCACCAAAATTGGGCTCATTGGGGCATCCTTTTAGTTTCACACCTCGCGGGCTGGTCTCGATGAGGAAGTGCCTCACCAGTTCATTGGTGATGTCTCCTGGGAAGAGATGGGAGATTTTCACACCAGAGCCACCCTCCTCCTCCTCCTCCTCCTCTTCCTCCTCCTTGCCAGCTACCTACAATCCTTCACCCATGAGAGCAGCCCCCCTCTGGCCTCTCCCACTCTGCCACTCCGAGATCCCACAGGAAACCAGCGCTCTGGTACGTCCTCAGCTCGAGGGAGGGGGTTCTGCCTCTCTGCAAGCCCATCTTGAATGAGGTCCTTTACAGAGGGCTGACCCTAAGCCAGGCTCCCCTGTGGTGTTGCTGGGCCAGGAGGGCTGTGCCCATTTCTCCATGCCAAGGACCAGTTGCTAATGCCCCCCGGCCCTCCACAGCTCAGGGCAGAGAGTGACCAGCTCTTCCCATGCTACCGGAGGGGAGGGTTGGGGGAGAGATGGGAGGGAGGGAGGGATGCTGCCACATCAGCACATACCCAAGGGCACACCATACTCAGCAGAACCAGCTGCCCGCTCGCTGCGGGCTGAACAATAGAAAGCATCTCGGCGTGGGAAGGAGAAGGGCACACAATACCTTTCTTGTTCTGCTGCATGACCGTGGGAGGTGGAGACGCTACTTTCATGGCAAGGCCGTAGGCTCCCCGGAAGGAGTGGCTGTCACGGATAATGAAAGCCCCCGGCTCCCTGTCCTTCAGCAACGTGATGGCTGTGGGGAGAGAAAGGCAGCCCTCAGGCCCAGCAGGCGCAGAGCCAGCCTGCCCTCTGAAACCGGTGGATGGGGGTCAGGACAGGGAGCTCGCTTGCCCCAGCTCCGAGACCCCTCTGAGCAATATCTGTGCAGAATGTGGGTGCTTCACACGCCAAGCTGCATAGCCCCACCGCACACCAGAGAGGGACTGGTGGTCAGAGGGGGGAGGTTTTGGGAGCCCACGTCATGCAAGCCTACAGCTGACCTGGGCCTCAACCCCCTCCTCTCCCACAGCCCCAGCATCCCCAGTCCACCTCCAGTGCCTAACTCAACCCTAGGATTTTCCCTCAGGGAAAGCCTTTCTAGCCCCCACGATCCTGCAGCTATCTGACTCCAGCCTCCAGTGCAGTGGTGCACCCCAAGTCCCAATTGCGGCTCACTCAGCCGAATCCTTCCCCCGAAGCCATCTACACACCCTGCTCCCTGGAGATCTCCGGTTTGTACCAGTACTTGGAAGTGTCCTGGACAAACTTGACACTGGCACGAGTCTCGGGGCTGATGTCTGGAGGAAGGAAAGGGGAGAAGAAAAGAAACAAAGTCAAGAGATGCTGTATATACAACTTTGTACGCGTTTTTAGCAGCTCCTGCCTGCAGTGGAGCATGGCCAGCTGATATCCAGAAGTATTAATATCTTCACCTCATTTTAGCCCCCAGTATATCGCCTTAATCTCAGGCGGCAGGCCCCAGGCCAAACACTTACAGGCAGGTTGATCGTCACCTGGAGCTAACAGGGCTGCACCTAAAGCTAAACCCAGGCACAAGCCTCACGGTGGAGGGCGATGACTTCCCTTATTTCAGCCTCAGGCTATGCAGGGAAGAGCTTCTCCTGCACATATGCTGAGAAAAAATAGAAGTTCATGGTTTAAAAGTCAGCCAGTCAGGTGAAATAAAAGCTGTCTGAGGAAAAAGGTGGGATCTCCAGAGGGAGGTGAGGAGATCCACTAACTTTGGAGGATCTTTACTGCTCTCCAGTGTTCAAGATTTGGCTCATAAAAATAAATCCCTTGCCTTATCTTTGTTCCACGCAGAGGACCCAGACAGGCCGATGGCCCCCAGGAAGGGTGGCTGGTCCCCAGCCCCAGTGCAGCCTGACCTTGCTACACTCTGTCTCTGGCACCGTCCCGACAGGACCCAATGCTCCTGATACAAAACCTCCGCTTCGCTCACATTACATTTCTAACCACCTGCTTTTCACAAACAAACAAGGAAACAACCTACAGGGCCGGGTCAGATAACATCTCAGGCGTTATCAGCCCGTTGCAATCTAGTCACCTGCAGAGGGTTCGCTCGGGTCTCCAGCCCGCTCCCCAATCGCTACGGATTCACGCTCGTGCTTCACAGCTCGGAAATGTCCCTCCTCCCCACGGCCCATGAGGCTGGCAGCCTGCAGCGAACATGAGCAACGCAGCCATCGTGGCAGCCAGGGAGTCCACAAAGGGCTGCGAAACCAACCCAGCCGCCGGAGCCAACGCTCCGCCGGTGCTTTATTCCCCTCGCCCTATCGGCCCGATCTTGGCGTCACGGAGGTGTCTCGTAACAAGAGCAGGGGGACGGGTTTCAGGCACGGTGGCACCCAGGGCACAGCACGGCTTTTTAAAATAAGGAGGCCGCCCGGATGTGCTGCAGCAGGGTCTCTCTAGGGCAAAACCAGCAGGGAACAGGGCTCCGGGGTCGGCGAGTCCCCATGGGGGAGAAAGGCCGCGCGGATGTGAGCGGCCTCCCGGGGCTTTGATCTCCCCCTACACAAACTCCCGTGCTATTTATGTCAGCACGACGGCCAGTTTGCTTCTGATGCTAAGTCAGTATTTTCCTGTTTGGATTCACTGTTTCAAAAAGCAGAAAAAGCAGGAAATGGCCCAAGCCCCCGAAGTGCCACAGGTTTCTACCCCGACAGGAGGAATAAATCAAATCACAGCCGCAACCACTTTGCCGCTCACTGGCGAAGAAGAGGGGAAGCCAGGGGGGCAGAGAGGCGGGGGGAGGGAGACTCCAGCTGTGCCAAGTAGCAGAAGCA